TTGAATTGATTACATGCTTATTGAGTGTGAGGGATGTCCTGAAAGACTTCCTCTCTCTAGATGATCAGTAAAGCAGTGCTGGGTAGTCATGAGAATTCTCCATGTGGCAGCCACTAGCTGCATGTGGTTATTTGAATAATTAAAATTAAATAAGACAAAAATATTTCCGTCTTTCAGTTACATTGCATACCACGTGTGCCAGTAACTACAATGTGGCCAGATGACAGTGCATACATAGATGCTGCTTTCAACTGCCTGTCTGGGTTTGCCTTCCAAGTTTAGTACATATGAGATTATGTGCCCTTGGGCAGGTTACTCAGTTTCTGGGTATTCCCTAACTTCTTCATGGTGAAAAGGGAACAGATGTTCTTATAAGGTTGTTAACTGTGAGAAAGTGAGTCAATATTTGTAAAGTGCTTAGAGTAGCACCTGACATGCTGTAAAAAAATGTTTGTTAAAGAAGCAAATGTATTTCATTCAGATGAAAAAAAAGCTAAGTGTGTTTTACTTTTACATTTGTCATAGTTTAGAATACTATTTCTGTCCATACTTTAAGCATACCTATGTGTACCCAACTTCTGGACAGAAAGCATGCCTTTGTTAGCCTGCTTTCTGTCTACTAGTATTTCAGCTCATCACTGCCTCTGCTTGAAAATATTTGATGCTCATGGTTCCTTTGTTTAGACAGTGTGTAAACTCCCTTAGAATGTGCATTTTACTTATGCACATAGTAAGTGTTCAGGGTGTGCTTGTTGAATAGAAACACCATTAGGTTTTGAAAGGTAACAGTATTTCTATTGATATCAAAGGTATATATGTTCAAATACTCTCTGAAGTGACACAAACTCAAACCCATTGCACCATCTGCGATGACATCTCCAAAATGTGCTCCAAGAGTATCTCTGCTTCTGTCTGGGTGTTTCAGTGGAGAGGGGCCAGATCATTTCTGATTGCTACCATTCACTCTCTACAACACCATGACATGCAAGTCACTGCAGTCAGCACCTTCTAGATGACACTTGAATACAGGATTTTGGTCCTGGGTTTTCACTTCTTTAAATTATCTCCTGTATTTTTACTGATTGTATTTAGACACTTAGCTGTGAGTTGAACACAGGACACAGTCAATATCAGACATGAATGCCACTTAATATAGCAAGTAAGTTTTGGTTGTCGGTTATTGAATCCACGTGGGAAAGAAGCCCATAAAACAGACTTGTAGACTGATGTTTGTCTAGGGTGTATGATATAGCATATCAGCTTATTAGTATAGCAGTGTGTAACAGTGTTGATAACTGCCATGAGATAGCTTATATGAACAGGCACACATTGTGTGTGCTACCTTACATTCTGTTGGGGAAGAGTGGGTTACTATAAAACTGCAAACACACACTGAATATGTTGTTTTGCACATGAAGACCCTTGAACCTCAGAGACACCGAAACACTGAAGGTATGTACTCTAGGGTTTTGTAAGGGTGGGTGGAGCAGGAAGCAGGGTGAGCATGGAGGAGCAGAGATCCCAAGCTCCTTTGAAGTGATTTAGAGTAGCTTTTGAACATATGTCCACATACTACCTTATAACATGTATATTTATAATGTCTTTTTTAAAGTACTGTTTTTTTAAGCCTTGACCTTGAGTTTTGGAGAAAGTAAATTTGAAGAGAATGCAGTGATCCTTGTCTGAGCTTGCCTGGTGTTTATTTTCTATAGTTTACCATCAGTGATGAATACACATACAAGTAACAGATAACTGGTAAATGTAATCAGTTGCCTAAGTACTGGGAGCGTTCAGTTCACTGAAACAGACTGCCCAGTAGACATTATGAACATTCTCCAGAGAGTAATTTGGATTGCAGTGAGTTATTTTATTTAAATTGGTGCTATGAATAAATGTTTGTTTGTACCACTATCATAATATAATTTAAATGCCATTTAAATGTGTTGAAGCATCTTCATTCCAGTAACTGTTACCCTTTGAAAATGGGCTGTTTGAGTATTGTTTCTCTCCCACTTGGCAGACACCAGATGCAGTGATTAATAAAGGTCATTATGCTACTTAGTCACAGAGAGCTTTTCATGACGATTACCTGAACATCTGCTGGTTTCATCACTGCAGGTTCCGGAAACATTAACAAGTTATAGATTCTGGGTCTTAAAACTATGGCATAGACTAGTGTAAAGTATTTCTTAAGAATGTTTAAATGTTTCTTGAAAATTTTTATATGAAGGCCCTTATCTTTCTGAAATGTGCATAATCCAAAATGTCAGTGAAGCAGTCTTTTGGAGTTCTGACAGTCCCCACTTGCTGCTGCTGACCTCTCTCTCAGCGTCTGGGTGTGTTTGTGAATACACCTAGTGGGCAGCAGTGCTGGTTACCACAAGAAACCGGAATTTGGAAATGGGAAGTTTGGAGTATGACTGAAGAAGTAAAGGCTATATGCCCTAGTGTAGCCAATTCCTGTGCACAGAAGAGTTCTCTGTGGACTGAGAAGACCGAGTGCAGATTGTGTAGAGATGGCAGAGACCTAGAGAAGAAGTGTTCATGGCTTTCCCTGCCTGAGAAGATGCTTGGTGTCATAAGTGTGAGCATGGTGTGGAGTGTTGGAATTGCATGTAGATGCAAGGAACCTAACGTCTCAGTGACTAGCTCAGACTGTACAGGTTCTTGGACTCAGTAGGGCAGATACAGTGGTCTAAGTAACCAACTCTTTCACATTCAGTCTTTGCTGGTGGGTGTGAGCTAGCTGCTATGTTTGCATCCTTAAGTCTAAAAGTCATCAGAAGAAAAAGGAAAAACAAACAAACAAAACCATCTAGAGTGGGTGAGACTGGTCTAAGGAAAGAAGTACTTTTTCTTAAACCACCCACTGTACTGTGCAAAGGTGCTATTAGGGAAACGGCCTGTTATTATTATTATTTTAATTTTTAAATTTTGCAAGAATTTTGTTAAAAGGATATGGGTTCTTATTAGTAGAGAAGATAATGTGACTCCCAGACAGGAATCTGCAGTGTTTGACAATTCAGCTACACACTAATGAAGTGTCTTTTGCCTGAAACCGGCCTCAGGTAAAAGATGTGAATGATGTTTCTGTCATTGTGTGTTATGGATTAGAGAACAAATTGGTAAACTTTAATTTTTTTAAAATTTTAAGCTTATTTAGTGTGTGTGTGTGTCTGTGTGTCTGTGTGCGAGTGCAGGTGTGCATGTACCACAGTGAGCGTGTGGGGATTAGAGGATACTTGTTTAGGAGTTGGCTCCTTCCTTCTACCTTGCTTAGGCAGGACCCTTCTTGTTTTGCAGTCCCTCGGGGTACTCCAGGCTAGCTGACTGGTCCTTGAGTTTCTGGCCAATTCTCCATCTCTCTCATCTCTCTATAGGAGTGCTGGGATAGCAGATGCTTGCCACTGCATCTGGCTTTTTACATGGGTTCTAGGGGTCAAACTCAAGCCATTAGGCTTGTGTGGCAAGCACTCTCACTTGCTGAGCCATCTCCCTGGCTCCTGGTAAAGGTTTGTTTTTTGTTTTGTTTTGTTTTTGTTTTTTTTCGGTATTTATTTATTTCATCTGGATTCTGACTTTTAGCCTGTGGCCCAGCGATGTAAAGAGGTCTTCTTATGTGCATACAGCACTGAGCCCCTCCCTGAGTCCTGTTCAGTCACTCCATTCTACCAGAGGCTGCCACTACGAGAGATGTTTATGTTCTATAGCATGCCCCACAGTGAGGGAAAGTAATGCAGACGGACATTCCTGGAGAAGTAACTGTGGACAGCTTTGAGAAATTGAACAGTCGTAGAGCAATACGGATAGTGTGATTCTTTGCATGCCTTCATATGAGTATGTTTATATGTTATGCAGGTGTGAATATGTTATAGCTGTATATCTGCTTGGAATGTAGAGAGAAGAAGCTTTAAAAATACCTTTAATATTGAGGAGTAGAATTGAGAAAGGAAGAAAGGAGAGGAATAAGATTGTACTTTAAGTTAAAAAAACTTGAGATTATAATTTGTTTAAAATATTTCTGTCTTTCCTTTCTTCCCTCCAAGTCCTCCTCTATAACCTCCCTCTTTGCTTTTCTCTTTAGACCTAATTGTTATTGCATGTATATAAATATACCTATATTTTCCCAACTGTAGACTGTTCAGTCCATCTAATGCTACCTGTATGTATGTTTTAGGGCTGACTGGCACTGGACAACCAACTGGTGTGTTCTTCCCTGGGGAGGAGCATCTTCTGTTCCTAGCTTTCCTCAGTTGCCTATAGTTGTTTGTGCACGCCTGAGGCCTCATGGGCTTTTCTCCATTCACTCTGGCATGTTCATTGATGTCACTTTTGTTCAGCTCACAGTCGTGTTGGTCAGACTTTAGGGGTATGGCTTTCGGCAGGACTAGGAGTCACAGTCTTGCAGCCAACACCCTGATCCATTAGCTTTTACAGTCTTTTCTCTCCCAACCACACCCTTAGGTAAGAGAGTCTTTTGTAGCTGTATCCATTGGGCTTGACTCTACAACTCTGCATATCGATTGCCTGTAGTTTTTAGGAGTGGTTTTCATCTGTTGCAAAGAGAAGGTTCTTTGGCTGGTGTGTGTGTGCGTGTGCGTGTGTGTGTGTGTAGACTGCACTTACCTATGGGTATGAAGACAAATGTGTATATTTTGTTGTTAGGGATTATGACTTCACTAACAATGCATAGTTAGCTAGTACCATTCACGGTCTCCGTCTTGTTGAGCAGGTCTTTAGTCCAATCAGAGAGCTGTCTACTGTCTTATAAGCATGCATTAGCTGTTGGATTAGAGAGCTAAGCATTCTGCAGTGTGAGTTTTAGAAACATTTGTTTATTTGGGTACACGTAGTCTGCGTATAGTGATCAGACAACATCTTGCCTAAGTTGGCTCCTTCTCTCCTGTGTGGACTCTGGGGATCAAGCTCAGGTCTTCGGGTTCGATAAGCAGCTTTACTTGCTGGGCCATTTCCCCTGGCTCCAGTGTGATTATTGCCTTTAAAATATGGAATGCTTCATGGATTACGTGCCATCCTTGGGTATGGGCCATGCTAATCTTCTCTGTATTGTTTCAGTTTTAGTATATGTGCTACCAAAGTGCTCATCGATGTGACTTTAATGATATGTGTGTACACACACACACACACACACACACACACACACACACAGAGTCTGTGTTTTTAGATAGAGTACCTTCATGACTTGAACATTTTTGTTTGTTTTTTGAGACAGTGTTTCTCAGTGTATAGCCCTGGCTGTCCTGGCATTCACATTGTAGACCAGGCTGCCCTCGAACTCACAGATCTCTCTGCCTGCCTCTGCCTGCTGAGTGCTGGGATTAAAGGTGTGCACCACCACTGAACGTTGAATTTTTAACACTTTTCTATCACCTCACTGCAAAGTAAGTGTTTTTTTAAATCAAATTTTGTTAACAGTCGAACTAAATATGTCATCTAGGTAATTATTAAAACATCTCCTAATATTAGGCAAAATAAGTTATGCTTAAATATAGTTACTGTTCTTTGAACATTGACCGACCAACAAACAAACAAACAAAAAACAAACAAAAACCCTTCTGAGAGATCAATCCTCATGCTTGCCCTGCTTTGTAGCAGAAACAGAGACTGAGATTTTAAACTATAACTTAAGTATGACACTTTGAGTTTGGCTAGGATTAAATGACAGGGCTTATTTATAGCAAGTTAGCTGAAGTGAATCAGGGCGGTGATCCCTAGGAGCATGGGTTGTTGGAGGAGGAGGCATACTGACTGGGACTTGACTTTTTACATCTAGGGTGAACAGGGTGGCGCTGAGTGGTTACAGGGCCAGACTGTCAAGGATGCCTTGACAAGTGTCCAGAAACAGACATCCAGAAAACCAGGAGGAGTGAGCTCCTTGTTCAGGGCATGCCCTTCTATTTCTTTTTTATCTGCAAATGTTTTTTCCTTCAATTTTGAGGGACTTTCTCAGAATTAATGAAATTTTAAATTGCTAGTAATTTTCTTTTAGTACTTTAAGGTTTTGTTTCACTGTCTCTTTTCATAGTTTTGTTTAGAAATCCTCCCTCACCCCCACACACCTATCGAAAGTGTAGCTGGCTTTTCTCTGTCTGCTTTTTAAGGTTTCTTCTTGGCCCTTTAATTTGTGCAAATTTTTCTTCCCAAGTGTCTGGAGTTCTTAATATTGATGTAGTTGATATTTGTATTGCCCTTTGAGGTTTCTGTTACTTATTCAAAAACTGTATCTCCACTTGTCTTCCCTTTCTGGGGTCTAATAATAAGTGTGCCATATGGATAAGTGCACTGTATGGATAAGTGTGCTGTATAGATAAATGTGCTGTGTGTGTGTTTAAGTGTGCTCTGTGTGTGTGTATAAGTGTGTTGTGTGTGTATACGTATGCTGTTTCCTGGAGTCTCAAATGTCGCCTGGGCTCTTCTCTCCCTTTCCTTTGTCTTCTTATATATATGTTTTCACATCTGTTGAGAGAGTTCATCTTCTCTCCAGTTGCATCTAATTTGATGTCAAATTGAGTTTTTAATTCAGTGATTGTGCTGGACCCAGTTCTTAAACAAATCTCTTACCCACACTTCCCTTCTCTTTTTCTTCCCTTTCTTCCCTCCTTCCTTGATTGACAGCATGGGTTCGTGCTCTTCTGTGAGTGATGGATGTAGCTGTAGTCTCATAGCATTGGTTTTTGAGAGAGTTATTCATTATTCCTGATATTCTTGTCCATATCACATCTTCAATCTTGTACAAGGAAACATGGAAATTCATGTTAGTGAGAGAAATGATATCTAAAGCCGTAGATTCCAGTGTTGGTTATTACTGACAAGTTATATGGGACACATCTACTGCATGATCTCTGAAGATTATACTTGTCAGTTATTGAATCTTTGTCTTGAAAAACAAAATTTTTCTTCGAATTCAACAAAGGTTTGAATTCTATGGCCAGAATATGGTTGTAGGTTTATATAATATTAAGACAAATATAGAATGCAAGGGATAACTGAAAGGAATACAGAGAACTTACATGTACAGGTATGAAGGGAAAGGTGTTAAAATGACACTAGCTTTGGGGTTAACTCTTGGGATGCTAACGCTATGGTGGGATAGATAAGGAGGACGAGCACCTGGCATTTATGAATTGTATGCAGTGATGCAAATTGTGTTACCCCAGTGTAAAAGTTTCCTCAGTCTTTTTCTCATCCAAGAAAACATTAGTTAACTTCAGCAAGCCTGTGGTTGCAGCTCGTTATACAGGATATAAAATTCCACCACCCCTATCTATAGGCAGTACTATAAGGATTGGTCTTTAAACCACATTGTTGTTATACATGTGGTAAAACTATGGCCGTGCTGTGGACAGTAATTGAGCAAACAGCAGCAGCATTTCCTTGTTTTGAAGAGGGTGAGGATCACATCACAGGTTATGGTAGTGTCTGCTTACAGTTTTTCACCATACGCGTTAGGATGACTCATTCTGAGTCACTTGTTTAAATTCACTGTCATTCAAAACTCTTTTATTCTCTTTTCCTTTTTCCAGGTTTCATTTCTCCTCAGTGAATAGATTCATTGTACAAAGTCTGACACTGCTGAACATAGTCTTTGTTTCTTTTAATTGGTGTGTGTGTGTATATATATATATGCTTCTGAGCACATTAAAAGCCTTTACACACAATGTCTTGCATTTTGCTTTTTAGTCACGGCAGGGAGTGTAGTCTAGTAAGAGCTGGTAGTGTGTGAGAACAGTGAGACAGCAGACTCCTGTTAATCTCAATCGAGACAAGTCTCCTGTTAATCGAATGAGCGTGTAAGTACTGCATTATTTACTTTAGTGGAGATGTACATCCCTTTCTTAAGGACTGAACTAAATTTAATTGTAGCCAGTTAGTGTCTATTCCAGGAAGTAGAGCTGGTCTGATTCTATCTCAGTTTAGTAAAATAATCATGCTGGCACAGCTATTTCAAAAACCATTTGATTAAATAAAGTTCCAGAAAGGAATGTGAACACTTCTCAGACTGATGAGATCTGAATTAAGGTCCTGGGTGTGTAGACTTAACACAGTGTGCTGTAGATACTCAGTGACTTTTGTTAGGCTGCTTATAGACATTTAACACATAGTTCATTGGTTAGGACTTGGCATCAGAGGGGCCAGAATTTGACCCCTTAGGAGCCATGTAATGTTGGGCCACTAACTTCTCAAGTCTGCTTTGTCGTGCTTGTTGCTGTACCTGTGTCCCTAGGGTGCGGATGAGTCATTCTGTAACTTCATTGAGCACAGATTAGGTGTTAGGGTCCTGCTCCAGGCACTTGTCAGTCTAGAAATAAAGTGCTGCCTAGCAAGCAGTGAGTCTGGGTGAGCAGTTGATGACAGTCAGGAACACGGCAGAGTGGTGGCGAGTCCAGGATTAACTGTGAAGAGACATGGTTGTCAGACAACAGCCACTGAAGAAGTTGCTGCTAGGTTGAAATTGGAAAAGTGGTTGGAGTCAGACGTAAGTGAATTTCCTGAGGAACCAAAGGTGGCTGGGTCCTAGGCATGGAGGTGAGCTCACTGACCAACCGTGGGACCGACCATCGTACAGTAAAACCCTAGAGAAGCACATGCCCTCCAAAGTAAGTGGCTGAAGCAGGGTCATGAAACCAGGACTGTTTGGAAGGCATGAGCTGCACACAGAGCTGACCCGAGATTACCTTTGGAATGTTCATCTTCACTGAATTCTGTGGCCTGTGTACCAGTCTAGAAGTGGAAGATTAGAAGATAAATTCTTGAAAACATGAAGTTTGGGTATGCTAAAATGCTCAGTGATTGTCAGGAGATTTTTTTTGGGGGGGGCGAGTTATTGCTGTAAAATTTATATAAGATAAATTTCATCCGTTTGAAGTACAACTTGATGAATTTTGGTAATTTTATATAGTCACACAATTACTGTCACTTCCTGATACAGAAGAATTTCATCAAGAATCCTAAACATTCTTGTTTTCTTGTGAATGTTGTCTGACAGCCTTGGGCACCCGCTGCTGCATGTTCTGACACTGTAATTTTGTGTTCTCGACACTTTTCTATAAATGGGCTTACACAGTGTGAGGGCCTTGGTTGGAGTTGGTGTCAGTCTATGTTATCAGTACGTCTCCTCTTCTTCTGTGGAGTAGCGTTCCAAAGTTTGAATGGACCACAGTCTGCTTACCTGCTCACCAGCTGACACTGACATGGATTGCCCCTAGTTTAGGACTGTATGAGCAGTCACACAATCTTTATACATACCTGCTTTCATTTCTTTGGGATAAATATTTGCAACGAGATGCTGGGTAGTGCGGCAAAGTTTACCGTTAGCATCTCAGTTTCCCCTCTCTGTGTATTGTAGCTGGATCATTCTGTATTTCAGCACCACTGTTAGAGGTGCTTCTGGCTCTGGTCATCACCTGGTTCTGTCACTCATTTTGACTTCATTTATGGCCTGTCTCAGTGAAGTTTTGACTTTGTTTCCTCCTGATGAGTGAATGTTACTATCTTTGTATATTTCTTGGCTGTTCATAAAGCTTTTTTTGTGATGTATTGTTCAAATACAGTTTTGCCCATTAAAAACACCAGACTGTTGCTTTTTAGTATATAGATTTGTAAGAATTTTTATATGTTCTGAATAGAAATAAAACTTTTTATCAGATGTCATGTATCTTCTAGTCTTTGGGTTGCTGTTTATTTTCTTTATAGTATCTCTAAAAGGAGCTTTAATATTTCAGAAAGATTTATTTATATTTTATGTCTACATGCATGCTTTGCTTGCATGTAAATATATATGCACTGTGTGCTTGGTGCCCTTAGAGGCCAGAAGAGGACATAGAATCCTCTGGAACTGGAGTGACAGACAGTTGTCAGCCACTATGTGGTTCCTGGGAACCAAACCCAGGTCCTCTGCAAGAGCAGCAGCACTCTTAACCACTGAGTTATTTCTCTAGTCCATTTTTAATTTCAAAGCTTTCTATTTTTGTCATTTTTATTACAGTTTGTGTTTATTTTAGTTAGAAGGAAAATTTGCCTAACTCAGTGTCTTAAAGATAGAAGTTTGGTAATCTTTATTTTTATAGAGACCTGTGATTTA